CACAATGGGCTTACTGCATTCTATCCACCGCAGGGAAGCAAGCCCCAGATTTTAGCGTTGCATGTTTGTAAACTTACAGCTGATCCATAGTGGGATAGCAATCGTGCATCTTAATAATAGCTCTACATGGTAGTTTTCTTTTCAAAAGGCTCCGTCGTGTAGTTGTCATGTCCAAAGCACAATAGTCCTTCCTGAAGGCTTTTCATAAGCTATATAGTGTGCTATATACATTTCAACATTCTGATCACACAGAAATCCAGTGATTTCACTAGTGTTTCTTTCGTATGGAATAGCATTAAAGTGTTTGTGAAATTAGGTGGCTGATTGGACAAAACAACAATCACACAGATAAGTGATACATTTCTGATAAATGAACTGCTACACCAGTTTCCTTGGAGCCCCAGTGATGATACCAGCACTGAAATTAAAGATATAAAGGAAGGCATAAGAAACCTTAAGAGAGTGATTGGTTGTTTTTAGCTCCAATTATCACAAAGAAGGAAGGAATGTCAAGATTCAGCTACATGATACAAAATAAGGTCTTACATCATATTATTGATGATTTGTGGCCAATTTCTCCAAAGATACCAGTTTCGCTGTCTACAGTGACTGACTGAGGCTGATGTGTCATTTATTTGAATGCATGAATGTGAACATGTATTCCAACCCATGAAAAATGCTGTTTGAAACACTAGTGCTTGCTTATATTTGACAGGACTGCCAATTAATTTTGGATACAGACACCATTGGCAGTATAAATGGACCACATCTGCCACAGTTACAGGACAATATGGAGTATGTAATCATGTATAGAATTTGTAGATTAATTACTCCTGAATGTATGCAATTGCTTGCAGTTGTAGTATTTATCAAATATTGCCACCACTATTTTACGTGGACCCATGTGTCACCAAAATGGATGATGAACAACAAATGCCCAAAAGTTATAAGGTATGACTGTGTATCAGATAAAGATGCTGCGAGATCACAACTTCACTGTGCAACACTACCTGTGTCAGCAGCAAGAAAATGCTAACAGATTATCTTGTCAGCCAGTAAGATCATCTCTATTCACTGAATATTTAGATCCTGGACACCATGCAGTGGTGAAAGATAATGAAGAAGCAGTGATGATAAATTGTGAATTCTGCATTTGGATAAACACAACAAATGATCAATCAGAAACACAACTAAAGGACTCATATACAGTTTGGTCTTTACATGTCACGAAGTAAGGTGAAATTAGGACTGTTATAAACTGATAAATGAAGTACTAACAAGTGTATTAACATTTAGCATTTGTATAGTCAGTTTGCAGGATGACTTGTATTGTCATTATGAACAGTGTGTTAGTTAACCCATAATGAAGCAAGTATAAACCCATAGCTTTTTATAGTGGGGAATATTTTACATAATTTAAGGTCTGGAGAGTATTAGGAACTGTCAAGCACTATTTTAAATTTTTATAAGTGTTGTTTTTTGCCACATTCACTTAAAAATGTCAAGTAACAGTGTAGACTTTATACCAAGAGTTTGTTACCAAGATAAGAGAAACTGTAACAAGGAAAAATTCCAACAGAAAGTGACAGGTCCTCCCATTGAGAGAATTGCCCTGATGTTCTATCTGAGTCTGACAAAGATAACTGGTATAAGTTGGTTATTATCAATTACTTCCCCAATTAAGCCAAAACGAATTCATTGGTTGACATATTAGCATGATCTCTCAGCTGACTGAACAATGGATAATAAGATTCAGATCAAGAAGTTAACTTTAATAACTAGTTGTTTGCTGAAGGATTAACTAAATGGGTATTGCAGACTTTCGTGCACACACTTGCTAAGTTTGCAAACCCCAACCAGATTAATTGCGATGAACACCAACTATGATGATATAGCATGTAACACAGCAATAGTTAACTGATAGTTTTTCATATATCCTAATGTTTGATACAAAGCATAGATCACAGAGCATCTGATGTATGGCCTTCCAACCAGTACACAAGGTATCTGTACAAACATGAAGAATGGCTGTGTTCTGCATTAGTTAATGTGCATGAACTTGCGTGTCAGTTGTTCATCAGAAAAAATATTGCAACAAAACAGTAACAGAACAAAAGTTCAAGCATGGTGACTGAGTTTGAGTATGATATGAACCTTCAGAATGTAAGCAATTTGGTTATTGCTAGACTGGTCTGTTGACAGATGAACTATGATACATAGCTGTTGCAAAATGAAGTGTATTGACCATACCAACAAGATTAACCCTTTTTGGACTGAAGTAGTGTAACTGATATCCCATGTTCTTTTTATTCTCACAGTAAATGCACTTAAACAAAAATGCATGTAACTAGGTACAAACTTTCTAAATAGTGTGTGGATTTTGCCTGGAAAAACTAACAAAATCTGATTTAGTATTTGTATCCTATTTTGGAATACTTTTTTGTAAATAACAATAAAGATACTTATTGATCAGAAATTCCATTTTACATATGCAATCAAATTTGACTTTGTTGATGTTCATTAGTTATTTCTTTTTACACTTTATTGTGCTCATTAGCCTCCCTACTGTACGATTGATAAATATTTACTAGTGAATAATGACATCATCTTTCAATAAAGTAACACTGTAGTAGCATTATATTTTGCTAACAATATTATTGGTTAAGATAAATTTATAAAAATAATTTTTCTAGAGTAAATGCCTTTTCCGATTTGGCAAAGCAGGATTATAATTAATGATACTTGTCATAATATAGTAGTATTTGGTCTATTATGTTTTTTAACACTGCATTTTTTATCTAGTCCCTTAGAGATTTTCAAGAAGTAGATGAATGTATAAAATAATATTCCAAATACACTACATTCCCCACATCCATTGCTGAGGACAGGTTTCATTCAATCCAGAGCTCATCAAGGCCAACTGGGAAACAATAAACACAGTAGTGGTTGGAATATTATCTATATAAGCCATTTGTTACGACAACAGTTGTTATGGGGTGAGTGCCTTTTCCAAGCTGTTGACGCGTGATTATAATTAATTATGCTTGTCATATGATATTAGTATAAGATCTGATGAACTCTAGATTGAGCGACATGCATCGTCAGTAATGGATATGACGAACATATTGTGGTTGGAATACTATTATTATTATACACTTTTCTAATTCATAAATGCCCCCAATATCTGAGCAGTAAAACTCTGGAGTTATGACAATAAAAATCCTGTTTTGATAACTGTGGTGGACGATTGTGTAGCTTTGTGCTTAAAAAGAAACAAGCAAACAAACTATAAGCTTGAAAATTTCAGAAACAATGACAATTAGTTTGGTTAGTAACTTTATTATTTTCTGTTTAAGTTTTTTAAAGTTAGAGAAGAAATTTATTTTTTATGTACTCTTCCTGTTAGTGTAACATTTTTCTAAACTGTAATGTTTTCCAAACATTAAATATGTGACATCTAATTAAACATTAAGAACTTGCCTAACCTAGTTTATTATCTTTACACAAGATAAAAGTCACAACATAGAAAGATAAAAAAAAAAGTAATTATATTATCTCTGGTCAAAAGATTAAAAATACTCTGAAATCTCACAAGATCTGCTACCTGATAAGCATCAACATAATAATCTTTTATCAATTAAAATATTGCAAATGACTGGCATATTTAGGATATTTATATTCATACAAAAGATTCTGGAAGATATTCAAGACACTTGAATACTATTTCTTGTACTATTTAAATATGCACCATCTTCAGTGAAATTGTCATTGTTCCACTGTTTACAGTTACATGTTGCAAGAGACAATACTACTGAAACTGGTTACAAATTTAGTTCAACCTGAACAGGTCATTGACACAGCACCATCTATGGAAACAGGAACTTCAACAGCAGAGAAAAAATTATAACACCAGTAATTCATTAAGCTTTGATACTTGAGGTACATCAGTTTAAGGCACTCAAATGTTTGTTACAATCGTACAAAATTCAGAATTCCAGCTAAGTTGTTCAAATTGTATTAAAACAGTTCCATGTACTCAAGTGAAGTTCTCAACCTGAGACTGATCTACGATGATTATACAAATTTCTATCTCCACTCAAAATGAAAGTTAAAATATAATAATAAAACAAATATATAAAGTATTTCCTAGAGATTGTTACTTGTTAGACTGTAGTTAACATTACTCAAACATAGATCATAATGATACGTGCATTTAAAGATATAACAATGTATTATGTCATATAAAATTGTTTACATTATTTAGACTAAATAAAAACTTTGTTTTCCCACATACTTTCCTCCACTTCAGGTTACTGGATTGACTTAACAAGGTACAGCAGTTGAATCATTTTCATGAAATATAGCATACTAGAACCATTAAAATTCTAGATGTATTAACATACATTTTAAGATACAGATCTACTGATACACGTCTGAAAAACCTAAACTGTCTTTTCATACCTTCTATGCATGAAACACAGATCTGCCTACTATGAATTATCATGTTTGTAACTAACAGTGACACAATTTATAGTACATGCTCATGGAGAAAACATGATGAGCAACTTCTATGAAAACAGTAAAAATACAACACTACTACAAAAAAGTAAAAATATAATAGCTAAATATTAAAACTACCTATGCTTTAATAAATAAATATTAAAACAATATTTTCATAGTAAGAAAGTACGCTTGAAACTTTACATTCTAGTCACAGCTGCTGAAAATATTGCAAGCAAACAAAATGTGATTTAAAGTAACTTGTGATCACAGAAATATAAAAAAATTCTTATCAAAGTGATCTTAAGATTATCATTAAAATTCATCTCAACTCTGGATATAGTTAAAAGTTTTAAAATTATATAAAAAAAAGCAATACAATGATTAAATATTGTTTGGTTCACAAAAACACAAACTCCACATTGTTAGACATAATGACCACAAATATTGTTTAAGCATTTAAAACAAAATCCATTCTGCAACATGAAGCATAATATTCATCAAATGGAGTTTTTGTATTTTGTAAATAGGTTGTAGAGAACTCGCAAAGTTGATTTTAAGTCCAAATTCACAATATCTAAAAGAAAGAAAAAGAGGACTATACAGTTAAGACAAACCAAACTTATGAATGGACACAGTGAAATATGAAGATGATTTACAAATACAAAATAATAAAAATATACATACAGCAGGGTAAAGCTAGCTATTTATCTAATTTTTCCAAAAGTTAGTAGATAAATGAAATATAAACTGTAAAGTAAATGTGAAATGTTATTAAAATTCAAAAACCTATGAATCTTTATGTGTTGTTTAAAATATTTTTTAAAATCTAATTTATTTTACTCAGAACAAATTTTAACAATACATTAGGCACTTTTTGTTTGTACATTCTACATGCACCTATGCTAAAAATATCATTATTCTGAAAAAATAAAAGCTATCTTTAATATTTATAATAGCCCAAGATTTCATGTGGCAGCTTTGCCAAGGGCACATATTAAATAATTAAATGATGTTTCAGTTTTGTTCTGTTGAATTTTTTTCGCAAACAAATATTTGATTTATCAAAATAAACCAAGAAATATAAAAAAATTACTGTGCTTCTATGTAGATTAGTAGTTTGATGCATAGGATTAGTTGCAATAGCTATAGCAATAATACTTTTTTGCAGCTCTTGTTTTCACATTTTAAAGGGTATCTAACTTCAATTTTAGGTATGAGTTTTTTGATGACCAGAGTTTATTTTAGTCTGATATATTATTTGCTGTTGAAACAACAAAGTTCAATATGTATGTTCTTTAAAGTCAGTATTGAACTTTTTTTCAAGATAAAGATCACAATTAATAAACTTCAACACTGCTACTTTCTGTATTGATATGTTTGTTCTCGTTGTGGATGAGATTATGTGGGATCAACCACGCATCATTTAGAACAGTGTACAAAAGAGTATCTGGAGCCTAGTATTGGTAATTGTTTAAATATCTACAAACATCCACATCATGAACATGATGGAACTGGTGCTGAAAAGAACTTTGCCGTAATATGCAGTTCCATCAATGAACAAGATGTTCAGACAAAAAAAACTCAGACAATTAAAAAATGTAAACCTAAGTTAAACTGAAACTCATCAGCAATAGAAACTTTAAACTTACAGCTAACATCAATACTCCTACTCAAGGATAGTCATTACAGGTATAAAGTTTACACCAGTAGAAACTGCCTAGCTTGGCAGTGATTGTCTTACGACAGGACTTTCTCATATGTGGCATCCAACCACTTCCTCTGTCATGTATTTAGGCTAAGCTAACTCATTCAAAGTTTCACATTTACCACCCTATTTTTTCACTTTAATGTCATCAGTATTAAGAGAGAAATATTTAATAGATATGTGTTTATCTTAGTTGTACTTTCATTGTAATTTAAGTTAATACACTCATGAAAAATAATCATTCTTTTAGAAAGTTCCTGTATTCTGGCACTTGAAAACATTCCTCAGGTTCACAGACAGCAACTGGTTTCAGTTATGCTGTGCTGAGTTTCTAAGGTTTAGTTTGATAAATCACACAATTTATTACACTGAAATAACTTTTCTACCTATCCTGATTTAGCTATTTCCATGTGGATTTGCTATAAAAAAACCTTTTTTCTTGGAAATTTATTTCAAATATATATATATATATATATGTATGTCTTTGTATATCAGAAAAAAAAAATTATATGTCAAAATTTTGAGCTTTTCAAGCTGATTTGCCACAGTAGTTATTTTAACACTACTAATCACTGTACTTCTATAACAACAGTAATAATGTTGATCAAAGCCAATTTTGACATTTGGGTTTAATATTCTAATTAACAGCTTTATAAATGGTGTATTTGTGTCTGAGAAATATTACAGTATCCCTGTTTTCATATGGTTTGATAAACAGGCAAATCAGTAAGGAATAATACATGTATCACACTATCAACAAGGAAAATTTAACAGCCTTCAAAATTAGACTAGATAAAAATAATTCCATACAAAATAGTATTTCTAAGTATTAAAGAGCCATAATCTTAACAGTGAATCAAAAATCTGTTTATGATGGAATTTTTTGCCTAAAATTATAATAAATTTTTACCTTCAGGCCGGGCTTTTGGTTTGGCTAAACCGGCATCCATCATCAGCTCAAAAGCAAAAGCAACGTTATGTACTTTCTGGTCAAAATCTGTTGGTGTTAGATTAAAAGAGTATAATGGAACAAAATAATCCTCCAAGAGCCCCATCAAAAGAGTCAAGTACACCCCATCATGGAACTGTAAAAAGTAGATGTCACTAATTAGTGGCAATTACTCATGTAGTACTTCATCATTCCAATGAAGAAGTTCAAAAAAAGATCTCCTCACAAAATTACAAAGTTATCAAAATTTCTAGTCTCAACTCTACATATCTTTAGCCCATCATTAATCCCATCATGTGAGACAAAAAGATTTAATAATGCAACCATAAAAAATTTTTTCTAATTCTAATTCACATATCTTTTAATTTTACATTATTTTCATTTACTAAAATAAAAACTATCATGTAACCAAAAAAATATACCACTTCTGATTACATCATCATCGTGGCAAGGATTTAGGATTGAAGACCTGGACTGCTCAGAAATTTCCTTTCACTTTCGGATTCTACTTTACAAACTCTCATGGAACAAAAGAAATTACTTACTGTACATAAGTGTTAAACCAAACCATAAATGCATAATAAACTATATTACTAAAGTGCATTACATACATTACAGTGATCATATAAATATATATATATATACAACAAATACTTCACATTAAACTTACCTGATTATCTAAATCTGTAACATCCAGGTTAATTCTGTTCAAGTATTTGTTGACAAATGTGACCAATGACTAAAAAGTAAGAATACAATATTTCAAGTCTGATGGATGAAAACAATGTAAGTTAATGAAAGTCAAAGCATAAATGTTAATGAAGGAAAACTATACGAATCATATTATACAAGCATGCTGAAATTTCCCTTTAAAATGAGTTTAACAGATATGTTAATACCCAGTCTGCAAGTCAGGGAGTCATGTTTGGTGGTTTGATTCACATACAAAGCTTTTCAGTACTCTCATATTTTTGTTTTTAATTCTGAAAAGAGATTAGAACTCCTTGCAATATCTGCAATCTTTATTTCCCACCAATGTAGCTAAATTTGCACTAACTTCCAGGTTATAAGGGAGCAAAACTTGTACTCTAATCCAAACTCCCACTCAATACACAGTAGTGACCACGTATGTTGTGCAATAAAAGATCTAATTCCTCAGCTCTATAAAACCATTTTCTTCTCTCAATAGAAATGGGCTGAGAAAGATTCAATGATGGTTGCTTGCTGTTATACGATGACTAATTAACAGTATCTAATTGAATATTGTACACTTCTTCTATTTGGTGCAAGAAAAACAAAGTCTGGCCAACCCCTGAACTCCATATCTTCATGGTCAAACACCATTGATATGCGGGTTCTTCTGGGAGTAGATTCTTTTTTTTGTGATTATCAAGCATTTTATCAGAATACATCTTTATATTATAACTTGAATACCATAAACCATGACACCCTCTGTATCCCACCTAATCATCTAAATTTGGAGTCATTGATTCATAGACTGTATACTAAATAAATAAACATCTAGTTCTTCAAAAATTAATATTTCAAAACATAAACAGAGAAAAAAAAATTTAATTATTATCACACCAAAAACATATTCAACATTACTTTTGTAATAAAATTTTGTAACATCAACCAAGTTAGCTAGGGTGATGAAAATTTATACAACTAGAAACTGTAGGTATAAGCTAGTCATAGTATAGAATTTGTTATTCAGTACAAGCAAACATATGGCATTTTTCAAACTATACCACTACAAACTGAAAAACAAAAAGTACTAAATCTAGTTTTATAGCCTCAAATAAAGTCTCTGCAAAACGTCTAACTGACTCTTTCTGTCTCATAGTAAAGTATCTCAGTGGAGAGCAACAGTCAATTAAAATATGAATACTAGTTTAACTTGTTTAACTCTTTCATTACCATGTTTATAAGAAAACAAACTCTTCTGTGTCAAGTTTATTTCTAGATACTCAACAGGAAAACAATAAGACATGTTTTAATATTTCATTACTTATCTGAAAATGGTAAACTTCCCAAAGTTTACCAGATCTCTTTATAGTTGGCACAAAATTCAAATGCAAGAGGGAAACAAGTATGCATTTGTGAGAAAATGACAATAAAAATTGAGCAGCATTTAAAGTTTTTTTATTGGCTATACATCCAACAGCACAGTTGAAACATTTCATTTGCTAATACAGTGACCTGGCATATGAACACCTCTGAAACCAGTGTTACTGTCTGAAATTCCCAAAATATTTCCACACCTGTGGCATACATAACGCCATTGAACATGAGTCCTTTGGAGTATGGAAAAAGCAAAGCTACCAGGTGCTAATGGACCTGTTTTTGCTCATTTTTGTGTTTGTGTTGTATTGCAGTTTGACATAATCAGTGTCAACTTTATGGTAGAACAACTCATTTTATTATGTCAGGGTACTGTAACAAGAAATTCAAAAACGATAAACAAAATCATTAGCTACTATTTAAATATTTTTTATACAGTTGCAAAAATATTCTCAAACACAAAATGGTTTGCAACCATGGCAACACAGTGGAAAGTTAAACATACTGAAAGAGGTTAGAAACTTGTGATAGAAGATCAACAATGCATGATATTTTACTCTATTTAACAAAAGCACATAGTTAACATTAGGATAAACATTTTGTAATGAACCACGCTACTTTTAATGGTAACTAAATAACTAAGAATTTTTATTACTTAGAGTGTATTATGCATACTTTAACCAGAAATGAGAATTGTCAATGGTGAAAAGAAAAGTATGATCCACGAATGAGGTCATGAATTACTGATGAAAGCAAAAGCCAAGAGAGAGAGCACAACCACTCTTGGAGCAAAAAAATGGACTTAGAGGATGACTATTAAATAACAATGTTTAAAAATTTATTTTTTTTACAAATTTTAACAAATTTATACACAAAAAAAATTACAACTTTAGGATAAATTCAGCCAATGTTAACCAAAAAATTAGTTCCTCAACTTTCATAGCCACTTCTTCTAAAGCCTGTCTGTTTCTTTCTTTCTGCCATCTCTATATCATCTAAAACAATCTTCATTGCATTTTATTCCAGGTATCAATTTTGCTCTTAAGTTACTGGTCTGCAAGGTGGTACAGTATGATTTTCAGCTTCTTCCTTAACAATGGCATCTTTCACTACCTTATACTTGCTTGCAAGCAGCTATCAAAACTACAAACCTATCTTTCATCATGAAATCAAACACTGGAATATCCCTTTTAAAGTATTTCACTACACTTGTATTTGATCTTCTAAGTGCATGTTTCATATACATCACATATACTTATATTTATCATTGACAACTTGGCATTTATAATGTTAACCATAATATTAAATGTCGATTTGATTACAAAAACCATGAAATATTGAAAAGCATAGCATCACTACTTCTGATAATGCTGAATACCTGCTGCATTGAAATACTTGAGACCACCATACAAAAACCTTATCTTCTACATTTTAAGTATTTTCACTATAACTTGGAATCAACTTGAAACACTAGAATCTCTTTTTGAACAATTTTCATTTCATCATGTTAAAGTATATGGCAAAAATATTTTGTAAACAACTTCATAAGGCCTTTCGATTCAAATATTACCCCCTAAAATCAGGATCTATACAAAAGAGTTACATCTATAAGGAGTCATTCAGTGGCAATATATATATATATATATATATATATATATACTGGGCACTCTGTGAGTATACAGTAATTGCCAGTATTTTAAAATCAGCCACAGACTTATTTAATATCTAATGGGTTTCCGCATTAAAATATGCATCACAGAGTTTCATACAGATGTCTTTTTTTTATATAGATCTAGTTCTTGAAGCTCCTTTAGGCTTTTTCTAGTTAGGTTTCAACTTGAATAAGGTTGGCCAAAAAAGGCTTCTAAGTACTAGGAATTGTGTCAAGAAACTGAAAAACCAATGTGTGTAAATGTTGAAATACAAAAACATAATTTTTAAGCTCATTTAATGCAAAAACTGAGCTATGTAATAGCTCAGAAATAATACCATTTTTCTTTCTTTGGATAAATAGCTTTGTGATTATTAATTCCTTGCATTTTTGTTACCTCTATGGAATCCAGTCTTATCAATACTAACATTATAGCAACTTTACATTTCACTGTTGTTTGATAACTCATAAGTAGCAGTAGGAAATCATAATCAATGAATTTTTTATGTTTATCTACATAAGTGGGTAACTGATTTAAAAGCTTATGGTTGTATCTCTCCACCATGGCATCAAAAGATGGATGAAAGGTTGTTGTCTTGGTCTTTTTGATTCCAAGAATCTGAAATTTTCCCACAAACAAGACTGATTCAAAGTTCCATTTCTGATCTGAGAAATTAGACACACCAAATCCTGAAATAAATTCATTGATGACTTTCCTTGCTAGAATTTCTGCTTCCTGGTTAGGAATATAATATGCTTCTGGCCATTTGGTGAAACAGTCCATCAGAACCATGATGTATTTATTCCCACTGTTACTCTGTGGTAAAGAAGCTAGTGCATTAACAACATTTCTCTCAAGTGGTGCTCCAACACAATACTGTTGTAGCTTAATGTGCTTTTTCTGTTGTGGATCTATTCACTCACAGCATAATTCACATGATTTACACCAATTCTCTATAGATCCCCAGTACCCAACCCAATAGAAGCATGCTCTTACACTCTCCAGTGTCATCTTAACACCTAAGTATCCAGCCATAGGAAGGTTGATGAGATGACAGAGTGATTTGAAGTGTAGAGAATGTGGAAATAATACATCAAGTTGATGTTTCCTGCATATCAAATCCTACTGTCAGCATAATGAATTCCATTATGCTCAGTAAATTTTTGTCTTCTGACTATATGGAGAGACTGTTTGCCACAAGAGATTTTTTTTGCATTATTCTTGATCCAATCTTGATCCATTGAATAATTGGTAAAAAATCTGTATCTTCTAACTGAGCATCTTTCAGTTGAGTATTGGACCATATTAGTTCTTCATCATCGCTTGTGGATGTCCTACCTTGGACTATACTGTGTTGTACTTTAGGTTGATCATCCTTACTATCTCATGCTTCCCTCTTTTTATAGTGTATATATTCTTCATTAACACACGATTTCTGAGATAATGCATCAACATTTGCTGTCAGGCATTCTGGATTGTGAAAATTCACAAGTCACTTCAGTTCTGCCAATTCCAGTCCATGTAACAATAACAAATTAATTTATTTCTTCAATAAAGTTTGCAGCTATTTCACTTTAACACAAGCTGTAGGCATAAACCACAAACGTCTCAATATAAACTGCAAAACTGATATTCATCTAACTCACAAATGCAAAGACTTGCTTGTAGAATTACAATCACAGATGCACTAACTCTCACTGTCAAGCTGGCTCTGAATTAATTCAATCATTAACTAAATTCTCACTAAATCTTGTATTTAAAATGTACCCTTATTACTACATTCTACACAAAAATTCTAGATTCTTAACAGAGCACTTTGTTATTTATATTAATTTTAATACAAAACTTTAACAACTGACTAGTTATGTAGTTTAATTGTGAAAGATCAGTACTTGAATATATGTATTATACATGTATATCGTTTTCTTTGTTTTTTAATTTGGAGCAAAGTTACTTGATGGCTATCTGCACCTGTTAACCCTAATTTTGAAGTGATAAACTAGAGGAAAGGCAGCTAGTCAATATTACCCACCATCAAGTCTTGAGCTACACCTTACCAAGTAATAGTGAAATTGACTGTCACATTATAAAACCCCAACATCTAGCCGAAAGGGCAAGAATATTTAGTGGCAAGTTTAAACTTTATGAATGACTTAAGGTAAAGTAGCTATACATTAAAATTTTACTAGAGCAAATCTTAAATTAGTTTTAAAAATATGAAATCAAAAAGTTTAAGACATAAAAACTTGGTTGGTATTTTAATACTGTTAACTTTTTTGTGTGTACTACAAACACAATTTCTCTTTGCATGCAGGTTTCATAGTGAAATTGAGTTATGTTTATCTTTACCTGTTTTTTTTTTGTCTGTCACAACCAATCAAAACACACTAAAATCAACTTACTAATATTCATGATGAAAGCTACAAGAAAACTAGTTACCTTTTTCACTACTTGTAATTTGTCAGGAGCATGGTCAAAGAGGGTGTCAAATGCATCTCTTTCTGTTAAGAAAAACAACATGAAATAAGTATCTACTACTTTAAAAACAATTACGTATATTCAAAAATTAATATATTTCTATAAATATTGCACCTGTTTTATTAAGTTATTTTACTAAATCTACACATGCTATGAACAATAATAAATCATTATTAATTCTTTAAGAACTATCAGTCAGGGAAATAACTAATGGCAATAAATTATTAGGTGTTATAAAAAATAAGAGAGCAAGATCTTCCCTAATGGTATTTAGCTAGAAAACCACTTCTAATAGCATGCTGCCCAGTTTTCTAAATTAATATTCAAAATAATCAGACACCATCAATTCAGTACTTCTTATTGCAAAAAGTATTTACATTCCAGCCAAAGATCCTGTCATAAGGTGTTTGGAGCTTGAAGTATGAATAAATAGTCTAAAACAAACTCCTTATTAAGCACTAAACAAAGTCACTTGAATATGGAAACAAAAACAATTAATAAAACATCAATAAATACCTTCAAACAATCTTTGTAACATCAATACACTACACTTAATAAACTTAAAATAAGACCCAAAACTCGAGCGCTTTTGAATAGTTGGCTATTCTTCTTCAGGAGAACAAAGAAGAATAAGAATAGTCAACTATTCGAAAGCGCTTGAGTTTTGGGTCTTATTTTAAGTTTATTACACTTTATATGTGATCCTTTGTGCTAACTCTTTTATCAAGATTAATACACTACACTTACATACTCTCCATCAATACTCTACACTTACATACTCTCCATCAATACTCTACACTTACAGTACTC